GAAGTTGAGGGAGGTGGACGCCCGGTCTCAGTCGTGAGTTGGGGACATGACTGTGTCACCTCCCGCCGTGGGGCAGACCACGGGCTCCTTCCTGTGTCTGGGCTGCTTCGCCTGCATGGTGGGGATGAAGGCTCCCTCTCAGCGCCCGTGAGCAGTAAGTGAAGACACCCAGCAGGGTCAGGCCCGGACGGCGCCCACGGTGTTACCTCGGGTGGGGGACGTGACGGGAGACCAGTGCCCCACAGCCACGGTACAGCGATGGCGGCTATCTGTCGAGCTCCCCTGCGCTCTGGCAACAGCCGACACTGAGGACACGCCCTCAGGGCTACACCAGACCCTGGGGTTCAAGCCTCCCTCACCTGAGGGAGCGCACTCTCTGGGATGCGCCCCAGTCATCGCCCAGCACCAGGCCCTGCAGGGTTCTGCCTCCTGGGAGCAACGCCCAGAGAACACTCCAGAAGTGTAGGCAGTAGGCCAAGAAACAGCGGTTCTAGTGGGGGAGCATGGACCAGCAGCCTGGTCAGCAGCTGGCAGATCCACCAGGGAACAGTCAGAGGCAAGAGGGGGTCGGGGAGGGGAGGCCGGCTTCAGGTGAGACCAGGTGGGTGGGGAGGGAACTGCGGTCCCAGGACTGACAAATGTGCTCCGGGGACACAGCTGGGTGAGAAGGAGCCAGTGGGGGCTCAGGGTGTCTGCCTGGGGTCCAGGTGGCTGTCACAGCATCAACGGGGAGAGGCCGATGAGACTGAGGAGTGGCGAAGGCCCCCCTACTCCCCGTATTCGGGAGAAAGGCGGGAGGCAGAGGCAGGGCGTCTGTGATTAGACAGCGCTGCTTGCCTGGTGACGCAGGGCCGCGAGCGGGGACGGGCTCCACACACACCATGAGCTTTCCGCTCACAGGGAACCCTGCAATTTTCTACCCACTCCATTTCCAAAAAAGCTACACTTATTTAAAATGTCACTGGGCTGCAGTCTGGTCCCCTTCCTGAGCAGCACTGCAGGCCAGCGTGGGGCAGAGGATGGGCGGGGTCTCCGAGAGGACGGCGCCCACGGGGCTCCCACACCCGCCCACCCACCTGCCTGAACAAACACCGTGACTGGGCAACTCTGAGGGACAGAGCACGTGGACTCAAACCCGCAGATGAATTCTGCTTAATTACACGCGTGCTGAAGCATTTAGAGGGAAGGGTACAGATGTTTGCAATTTGCTTTAAAATGCACCAAAAAAATTCAAAAGGATTGATGGGTGGAAGCAGGGTGGGTAGATACGTCATAAAGCAACCACAGTAAAACGTTTGTGGCAGGATCGGGGTGGTGGGTAAGTGACTGTAAAACTCTTTCAGCTTTGCTGAGTTTGAGAATGTTCACGAAACTCTGGGGAAAATCTGCTAGCCTCCACCATCACCGGGGACGCGGCACAGCGCCCCTCACCTGCTGGGAGGCAGGTCCAGCCTGGGTCCTGGCTGCCCGATGGGCAAGCGTCCGCCGGGCCCAGAGCCACCGTGGGGGCTCCAGGAGCCTGTGGCCTTGACAGTCCCCGAATGTGGCCCTTAAGAAACCCAAGTGTGAAAACCACGCAGGCATCACCATGTGAGGATGGTGGTGGTGTTACTGTGCTGGCCACAACGGCAAGGTGCCCCTGCTGGGAGCGGTCACCATGTTCTCCTAAGGTGGTCTGCAGGGAAGCAGTGTCAGCTCTGTGTTCAGGTGAGCAGACCAAGCAGGGCCACGGCTGGTGAGGGACAGAGCCACTGCCATGCCCAGGACCCACCCACTCAGGAGGTCATCAGCACTCCATCCAGACAAATGACACGAACGTCCTCAACTGCTGTCCCGCAACCGTTTTCTTGGTTCTGGGAAACCTAGGCCAGTGGAAGGGTGTGTGAGGAGGGCTGGGCTGGGAGGGTGCAGACGACCAAGGGCAGTCCCCCTTCAAGCCACTGGCCCAGACACACCTGCACTGGGGAGACCGGACCGCTGGGAAAGGCTGGAGGGCAGGGCCGGCGGGGGGCAGGCCGGGGCACATGGAGTGTGTTTCCCACAGTTTTCACAAGTTCACTCAGTCTGGTTCCCCAAGACCCTGACGCCGCAGCCGGACTGAGAACCACAGAACCCCGTTTCCGGACCCAGAGTTCCACGCAGTTTGCTCAAGCGAGCGCCGCCTATGAGAACCATGCACCATCCTAAGCCCATTCAGTCATGAGAAACGGTGCGTCTGAGTCAGGTGGTCATGTGCTGGCTAACTAGGGCATCAGTTTCCCATATCTAAATGGGGCCCCCAAACCACCCATCTTCCTGACGGCTGGCGGGAGGTCCCATCACCTTGAGCCACATCAGACACGCACACAGGTCACCCCAGCTGAGTGTGGGAATAGCTGAGGACCCTCCGGGGACCTGGACAGGCCACGCCAGGGGAGGAGCCAGCAGCCTCCCTCCAGGCCCCGTCCAGGCCCCTGAGGAGGGCACAGCGGCGGCTGCAGCGCTGTTTCCTCACCAATTACCAAGAGCTCTAAGCAGTGCGAGCCTCTCCAAGCACATGTTCCCAATTGTGTCACCCTGCAGCTGATTTTAATCAATCTTCCTGAAGCGGTGGCGACTTGAAGACTCCCCTCCAGAGAAGGGGGTGGGGTGTTTGCAGAAGGCGGCTCCGTGAGCAGCGCAGCTGACACACAGCCAGGCCCTGCTAGATGCCAGGGAGCCCCTCCACCACTGGCCACACCCACAGCCATGGCCACAGCTGCGCTGCAGTTCTGAGGCGGGCACGGAAGGGCCGAGGGGGCTCACCCCAAGGCAGAGAGCTGCGGCCAGGCCACCTGGAGGGGCTCACGTGCTCTCCTGCTGCTTCCAAGGCCCAGGCACAGAGGTGAAGGGGATGTCGTCTTTATCTCCGGGGTGTTCAGAAAAGGCCGAAGTGGCGACAGACGGCCACTAGCATTTACTGAGCATCTGCCATGTGCCAGGTGTGATGGGCAGACGTGGCCTCTGTCCTTCCGTAACCCCCAGGGGGGCATCATTATCCCTGATTTTATAAAGGACGCACTGGGGGCCCAGACGGCAAAGCCCTGACATGCCTGAGACCACCTGGCCAAGGAGCACGGCTGGCTTCCAGCTGAGGTCTTCAGCCTCGGACGCCGGATCCGCCCCAAGGCACCGTTTCCATGAGCCCAAGTCACCCGTGGACCCATTTCGACGTTGCCTGAACCAGCTCCTTGAGCCAGACATGTTCTCCCTCGTCTCCACTGTGCCGTGACCAGAAAGACTGGCTGGCTCCCTCTGAGCCTCGGCCTCTGTTTCTGGCTCCGCTGCGGGGGTCCGAGTGCTGGTGGGCACGCTCATTCCGGAGCAGGGCCTACCCACTTCCTGCAGCCTCAGCAGGTCTGTGCAAGCATGCGCCCCTCACATGCTGGGTGAGCAGTGGCGCCGGGTGAACTCTGCCTGCCCCGTGTCAAGATCAGATAGGAGGTGTTGATATGACCGGGGTGACCAGCACCACCTGCAACAGACAGCCCAGCTTTGGGGTGTGCACCTCTCTGTGCCCTGGCAGCCAGCCTGGGCAGGTGTGGGCAGTGCCAAGGGTGGGAGCAGGCCAGCGGTCCTGGCGCTGAGGCTGGGACTGGGACTGGCAGTCAGCTGTCAGGGACTCGGGCAGGGAGCAGGGCGGGGGCAGGTGAAGATGGGCGCAGAGGGTGACGACGCTGGGCTCAAAGCCAGCTGTGCTCCTTGCGCTGGTGCCCTCGGCCACATTGCTGAACCTTCTGAGTGGAGCAGCAGGACCCCCCCTTCAGAAGAGGCTTAGGGAGAAAGCAGAGCATCCGGGCGCACGCTGACCCACAGAGGCTCACGGAGTTCCAGCTACTGAGTGACGAGTGAGGAGGAACAGGGGTTGGGGCCACCCCACCATCACGCCCACCCTGATGGACTACGCACGAACACCGGAGATCGGCGCGCACAGCCAACACCTATTCCCCAGGACCTGGTGCTGGTGGCGAACACCCACCAGGCTCAGGGCTCCCCTCACATGACCCTCAACAACCGCACCAGAGGCCATGGCAGCCGCGCACGCCCCCCCCCCCCCCCCCCCCCCCCCCGGGCAGAGGCCTGGAAGCCTGAAGCAGGACACAGAGTGGTTTTAGCTGCACTCACTGACGCCCGATTGCCGGGGGGCCTGGGCAGCCATGGGTGTGATCCCAGGCTGCGCTCGACCGAATAGCCAGAAACACCACCAACCCCACCTGACACGGCACCACTGGCGGGTGGGCAGGCAGGCGGCCAGGGATTCACCTGCCAACAGCCAGCGCGCCCATCTGAGCACTGCAGCCCAATTAGATGGTACGAGCTGACAGGTCCTAGAGCTGAACACAGTCCAGCCGCGGCTCACCGCGCCTTGCTTTATCAAAGTTGTCACTTCCACCATCTCCAGGAATTGGTAATAAAAACGAGATTTGATTTACCCCTAATAGGTGTCAAGGTAAAATCAATGGCCTATCCCAAATCTCGGTGATGGCAACTCTGTGGGTTTCTTGCCACGGAACAATTTAGACAGGAGGATAAAAACAAAAAACAAAGCAAAATTAAGACACTGTAAACAGCAGTCCAACTTATGACTGTGGGGGGATGTGTGCGGACACCAAACCAAACGGAGAAGACGTCCGCCAGCCTCTGCACTGGGCAAGCACGGCCGTCAAGAGAGAGCCCAGGCTAAGGGCTCCGGGGCCGAGGGGGAGAAGCGGGGGGTGGGGGGTGGGGCAATGGAGCGGAGAGGACGGCAGGGGTGACAGCACAGCCTGTGGGCACATGTCCTGCCTGCTGGGTGCTGGACACACTCTCGGCCAGCTTGGGGTGCGTGCGTGGGAGGGGGTCCTGGTTTAGTTTAGTCTGAGCCGGCAAATGGGATGTTTGTGGGTGCAGGAACCCAGACATGCAAATCCGGGAAGAGACCAGGAGGGAGCCGCGCTGGTTCCAGGGCAAGCCACCGCCAGGGGCTGCTCGCCAGCACCTACCGCCAGGGTGAGCTGCTCAAGCTGCGTTTCCAGCTGCTTCTTCTCTTCCTCCAGACGCCTCCGCTCCCCTTCCAGCTCCTCGATCTTCAGCCTGCAAGGAGAGGAAGACCGTGACAGGACAGCCCCTGCAGCCCTCGCGGGAGAAGTCCTGCCCCGAGAGAAGAAAGGTGGAAGGTCACACGACGAGGGTATAAAGTTCTGTTCCCAAATATAATGAAACGATGACGTCAAGGGATGACAATACGAAAAAACTATCAACATACCCAAGCACAGGATGGCAGGGTGCACACGGGCATCTGTTCCGATGGAGGCGCCCTGCCAGGGAGGGAGTCCTCGCCGACACAGGGCGAAGGGGGCACACAGCGAAACGAACCTGAGGCGGGAGCCCACGCGAGTGGTGACTGCGTAGTGCAGAGGACCCACCCTGAGGATCAAGAAAAGGCCTGAAGCGTCTCCAAAACGACGAGAAGGCGGGGAGTGCTCAGTGTGGCTGTGGGTGCCGCCGACGGCGGGAGGCCCAGGAGGACCCAGGACGAGGGGCAGCGGCCCCGACAGCTCACTGTAAGAAAGTGCCTCTTTGTGTCTTCACTTTTAACTGTAGTTTTTTGATAGGTACTGTATTCGTATGATTTAAAAGGTAAAGGTTTGCCAAGGAAGTGGTGCCGGGCCTTGCACAGGGTGAGGAACAGAGCCCCCCACGAGCCAGACGGAGAGTCACGCTCCACAGAGTGCTGAGGAAGGTCCTGGTTTGGGAGTGCAGGGGATTATCTCGGGACTGACGACAGCTCCAGGGCGGCCTAGCAAGAAGTTCCAAATTTGATGCAAAGTATAAAGCCACAGATCCAAGAAGCTCAACAAACTCCAAGCTCGAGAAACATGAAGAAAACAGCTCCGATGCACATAACAGTCCAGCTTCTCAAAACCAGAGATCAGGAAACAAAATCTTACCAGCTGCCAGAGAAAGGGAGACACTACATACAGACGAGCAAGCAGATTTCTCATCAGAAACAGTGCACGTGAGGAGACAGTGGAGAAAAACCTTAGAGCACTTAAAGAAATAAAAACTATTAACCTAGAATTCCATACCCAGTGAAAATATCTTTCAAACACAAAAGCAAATGTTCTCAGATGACAGCGACAGAGCGCGCAGAGCTGCTACGTGGCGGAGGGACAGGAAGACTGCCTGGAGGAGAACTGCTAGACAGGGGGGCCGAGTGCGCTGGACAGGTCACATCCAATCCCGCAGGGCGCGGCCTTGTAAGGGGGACACTGAGGCTCACAGAGGGCAGGTGACAGCTGGGAAGTGGTCCATTGGGTATGGACCCTGGCAGCAGGGCTCCAGCGTCGTCCCCTTACGGCCCATCAGTGCTTCTCAGGGGGAGGCACACAGAGGTGTGACCCCTGCCTCAGGGAGGCGTCCCGGTGAGCATGGTGGGGTCACCCCCAAGAAGCTGCCTTCTGCAGGAAGACTAGTTCATCTCAGGGACAGGCCGGGTGGGAGGTGCGCAAGGCCCCTTTCTAAACAGGATACCACAGGTGCTAAAGGCTCAAGAGCGAACGTTCTCAAAAGCTAAATTCAAATAAGCATCTGTATGCAGCTGCAGACATATTAGCAGAATGGCTACAATCCATCCTGGCTGTCAGAGAACAAGCCCACATCAATAACGCTTGCTGTGCATTTTAAAACGGGCACTGCTTTCCTCGCCCTCCTTTTCAGGCAGACTGTTACCTGGTTGGGAGGAGGGAAACAGAATGAGTAAATAAGAGTGTGTGTGTGTTTGAGTGTGTGAGCGTGAGTGTGAGCATGTGAGTCTGAGAGTGTGTGTGTGAGGATGTGAGCATGTGTGTGTGTAGGAACCAGTTAGAAAGGGGTAGTTGTTATCGTGTTACCCCACACACCCTGGAAAACAGGGAGAAATGATTGTTTTTGTGGAGCTTCTCAAAGGGTGGGGGGCAGTGGAAGGGCCACGAGTGGCCTGGAGGGCGGGCAGCAGTGCAGCTGGGCACAGCTAGAAAAGGAGCATGTGGCCATGATGCCACCTGCCCAGGGTGATCAGCCACTGGCCCCAGACCCATGCCCTGCCCTGCTGGCCGCCCCCAAGGGCCTGACCGCCCACCCAGGGCGCTGCTGCCATCACCTGTCACCGTTGGCATCTCCGTCCCCTTTGTCAGATGGCCTGTGTTTCCAGTGCTGAGCAAAGTGTGACCATGTCCTTAAACAACAAGCACCGGAACCCTCAGTAGAGACTGGAGCACGAGGGTGACGGCGCCTGCTCTGGACTGAACGTCTCTGTCCCCCGACCCCATTCCTATGTTGGAGGCTCTCCACGATGTGAGGACACACAGACACAGTGTCCATCTGCCAGCCAGACGGAGTCTTCCCTAGACACAACCATGCTGCCACCCTGACCTCACACCTCCTGCCTCTGGAGCAAGAGAAGATGTCTGCTGTCGGAGCTCCCACCTGTGGCGTTGGCTATGGCGGCGCTTGGAGGTGGTGGGTGCGGCTGGAGCAAACAACGGCCATGTGGCCACGGCTTTGGAACTGGCTAAGGGGTGCAGGTGGGAGAATTCTGAGGTGCGTGCTAGAAATATGGGCGCTAACGGGGTTCTGGGGCGGGCTCAGGTGGAAATGAAGAACATGTGACTGAAAATGGGAGGAAAAGCTGATGTTTGTCATAAAAGCATGAAGAACTTGGCTGTGTTCTTGTGTTTTGTGGGAGGCAGAAGTAGCACGCGGTTAAAACAGCTGTTTAGCTGAGATTTCTAAGCAAGTTTTGACAGAGCGGCTTGGTCCCTCCTGCTCATAATACAGTGTACGACGAAAGGTGAGCTGAAGAAGGGCTGTTGCCGTTATGGACTCTCTGGCCTGTGGGGACGAGCAGGCCCCCCACCTCTGTGGTCTTCTTCCTCTAAACCCAGAGCCCCGGTTTCATCATGAAACACATCCAACACAAAGGCTGGGGGCAGTCACTGCTGTGTTGTGAAAACCAAGACTGACAACCTGGCACAGACCAGAGGAGGCAGAGCTGAGACGCTGAAATCAATACAGTGCCGGGCCAGCCGAGTGGAGCGTTGGTTAAGAGTTGGCTTGGGACACCAGCTCTGAGCAGCAGGGCCCCGGTTCGGATCCCACATTAGGGCTGGTGACTCTGTGCCCTCTACAGCTAAGATGGTGAACAACAGCTCGACCTGGAGCTGGGCTGCCGTGAGTCGCTGGTGATGGAGTAGGCTGCAGTGGGTTGCCATGAGCTACTGTGAGTGGCCGGCAGCTGGTGTGAGTGGCCAGCAGCCGGCGTGAGCGGCCAGCAGCCCCGTGAGCAGCCGTCCAGAAGCCGGCGACAGATCTGCCTCGCCCGGGAAGAGCGCAATGATGGTGCCAACATGGGCCAGTGAAGCGAAGTCCTCCACAACTAGACTGAAGAACAAAAGGACAGCAACTTGTCTGTTCCCCTCCCCCAATTCCCCAATAAAATCTTTAAAAAAACAAACAAAAAAACCCCCAAATACAGTGCCTGCACTGGTTGGACATTACTGCGTAAACAGAGGCGGCGGGTGACTGAGCAGCGGCACGCAACGACCAATGTGTGCCGGTAACGCAGGATGGAAACGACAGGACACAGAGGGGACTGTAGGGGGCTCTTGTACTGTTCCCACAACCTTCCTGTAAATCAAAAACTACCAAAAGGGACAGCTGAAGAAATACTGGAAGGAGGGAAGGAAGGAAGAAGGTAACTGGAGCGGCTATACTAGTATTGGGCAAAATTGACCTCAGCGCAGATAATCAGACAACTGCCACATAAAAAAGAGGGCAGGGTATCAATGTCAAAAGGGTAATTCACCAAGAAGACACACTGGCCCCATTTGTATATGGTCCTAAAACAGACCTTCAAAATACGCGAAGCAAAACAATGACGGAACTGAAAGGAGAAAGAGCCAACAAACCCACAAGAGGAGCTGGAGACTTCAAAACTCCTTTCTCAGCAACAACAGAAACTGTAGACCAGCAGTCGGCAAGGAACAGCAAGACTGAACAGTCCCATCAAAAAACTATTTAGATCCAACTAACACTTATAGGACACACCACCCAGTTACACCAGAATTCTTCTCAAGTACAGATAACACATTCTCCAAGACAGATCATACTCCTGGGGCATTTAACAAACCTTACCAAATTTTTAAAAACTGAAATGATACAAAGTATGTTTACAGACCATAATGAAATTAAAGCAGATGTCAGTAACAGACAGGACAACCTTCAAGCCTTTGGAAACGTAACAACGCACATCAAGAAAATACATCGTTTACAGAATACTAATAAAATCAGAAAGTATTTTTAACTGAATGAAAATGAGAATACGACATATCAAAATTTGTGAGGTATAGCTGAAGCTGAGCTTAGAGAAAATTTTGTAGACTTACACGCTTATATTAGAAAACAAAAGCTCAAATCAATAATCTAAGCTTCCACTTTAAGAAACCTGAAAAAAAATACACCCAAAGCAAGCAGAAGAAAGTACATCATAAAAGCAGAAATCAATGAAATTGAAAACAGAAAAACAATGAAAAAATGAAAGAAACCAAACTCTGGTTTTTTGAGGAGACCAATTAAATAAACCTCCAGCAAGAATGACAAAGAAAAAATGAGAGAAGACACCAAGTAAGACGACCAGGAAGAGAAGTTTCCGCTGCAGACCCTGCAAACAAAGAAGGAATTGCACGAACAACCCCACATACATAAGCTTCACAATCTATATGTAATGTACCAATTCTACAAAACCCACAATCTACCCAAATTCACTGAAGGTAAAACGCATAATCTGAATATTTTACAACTACCAGAGAATTAAATTGTTAGTTAAAAACCTTCCACAACAGAAATATCCAGGCCTAGATGGTTTTATTGGGTGCAAACATTTAAAGAGGAAATAATGCCTTTTCTGGAAGAAACAATCTCTTCCAGAAAAGGGGAGAGAGAGGAACACTTCCTAGCTCCTTTCATGAGGCCAGCAGTACACGGATACGAAACCAAGCAAGGACAGTATGATACAACTACGGATCAACATCCCTCGTGAATGTGGACACAAAAGT